ATTAATGCCCAAGTGAAAAGACAGTCAAACTCCCTTTGTTTTCAGACTAAGAGTAGCGAATTTTACTTTGGTTGAGAAAACAATTCTCAATTTTATTGTATTCTTGTAGCAGTTCAGAAAAGAAGATAGAAGGAGCAGGTGAACACCTTAAAGCCTGACTGTGGAAGGGAACACACATGAATTAGTTCCCCTTGAAAGGGAATGTTATAGAGAAGGAATTAAGATGATAATATTTATTTTTCTTAATGAACATAAAACAGGCAAACACTCTACTGTCCACCTCTAACAATGCAAGAATTAATTTGCTTTCCTATTAGCTAGGTCTTAAAAACCAAAAGGGTAACTTGGGACTGGAAATCCCTCTAGCGTTTTAGCTTGGGAATAGTGGGTATGCTTTCACCTTAATGAGAGTGCAGTAGAAGATACACGGCAACACCGCAGAAATGCTGTTTACTCTGCATACATTCATATTACATTTCACCTATTGTCATGCTAGAGGCCCATTGTAAATTAATTTGGCAGATAAATTTACGATGGCAATTTGCCTTCCAGTTGTATAATTTATTCATGTCAGAAATAATTTATTATATTCTCCCTTAAACCAATCTTTTTTTTTTTCCTAGGGTACCACCTTAGTAAATAAAATTTATTGTTTATGCGATGCCTTCTGTGACTTCACAGTGGTCAGTCAATAACCTCAAGGGGATAGTTTTGGTCACATTACTGGTCACTTATTCGTATGGATGATGGAGTGCCCCAGTCCCATCTGTACATATATTACTTTCTTTTGTCTTAGGGGCACTGCTGGAAAGATTAATTAGGTCCATCTGCAGGGAAGGATCAGCCTTAGGGGATTCAGGTAAATAAAATAAATGCCAAGGGGAAAAAATGCTGAGGGGCATGTTTTGAAAACCAAACTGTTTTCCATAACATTAATGGGGAAATTACATACAGAAGGAGACTGAAAGAAAAGTAAAACTGCCTTTTAGTCTGGATTCTTTCAGCATGACCTGATAAACATCTATTGCTGCTGTGCTGGGATAAGGATCTATGAAGAGGGTTAAAGTCCATGGGCAATATTCTCAGCTAATATAAATCAGTACAGCTTTCTGATCTCAATGGAGCAACCCTCACTTTATAACAGTAGAGATTTGAGTCGTATCTGGCATAGTGATATTATTTCTGTCCTTCATTTGAGTGATCCAAGACATGCAGTAAACTGATTCTAATTCACATTCTGTCCCCTCTTATTTTTTTTTTATTGTAACAGTGTTATCTTCTTTATGGCTCTTACATCCCACCTCTGTTTTCCTTTCCTTTAAGCTTCTTTCCAGATTTTCTTCCTTATCTTTTTCCTCCCTTTCCTCTGGGAAATTCAGCATGCAAATGAATCTAATAGCATTGAGCTAACTGATATGATCACAGCTTGTAAAATAGAAACTCAGCTCTTACTTTTATATCCTTATTATTATATGCACAATTAATTGGTGTAACTAGTACATAAGCCGTGTGAAATTTGTTGCCATTTAAGTTACGTCTCACTCTGTTGCCTTATCAGTCTAAGTGGGGATTTGTATTCCACAATGCAATGGGATTACAATCCACAATATTTTCATAGAACACAAAATGGAAAACCAAAACCACCATTTTCCTCACTGAAATAGCTGTCTTAAGGGACTGGAACATAAGAGTTGTTTTGCTTTTAAACTTTAGCTGAAGTGAAGTTGAAGCTCATTATGAGTTAAGAGTTTGCCTCCTGCTGACTTTTAAATTACTTAGTAAAGCCAGAGAATCATAATTTTGAGATAGAAAGGGACAACATAAATGATTTAAGAGGAAAGAGAAGCATCATACAGGAAGGTTACAAAGACAAATGTAACTCAAAGAGCAAGGGGGGAATGGCTGTTGGAGATCAAATCAACTACTGTATATAGATGAAGAACTACTGACAAGAGGGAAGATGTTGGCTCAGGAAATGCATGTGCCTGTCTCTGGCCTGTGCTAGCAGCAGTGGCCCCTCAGTCTCAGAGAGGGACAATTCCTTCTGTGGTTGAACTTCAAGGTCTAGTTCTAAACAGTTGGTGAGTCTGCAGTATGCAGTGCTTGAAAGAAACTGCCTCTACTTGTAAATAAGGTGTGAATACACACGTTGCCAGACAGAGCCAATTAGACACCCTAGAGTTTATCTGGGCTTTTGTTTTAGAAACTGTACTGTATAGGTGGCTCAGTACCTCATGGTCTTTAGAGAGCTAAAAATGTCATTTGCTATCTGTGTATTTAGGATGAATAGCTCGATGTACTGCTGTTGCAGAATAGAGCCTTTCTCGCCCGAAGGCACTTGTTCTTTCTAGCTTGCCACACTCGTTAGATCAAGGGTATTCTGAAGGCTCTCCCCTGGTCTTCATGAAATAGGTTGATGGCCACAGCCCAACACCAAGAAAACAAGTCCTACCTCTTAGAAACACTCTCATAGCTAATAGCGAGTGGAATAGTTCTTGTTTGTATCAGCAGTGCAACAAAAGAAAGAACAGTTGTGGAACTTAAATCGTCCTTTAAAGGATAAAGTGTCCCGCCCTTAAAATCTTCTGGGCCAATTTATTTTCTCAGGTAGAGATAGGTGGTTCCTATCTGGTTTATACTGCACATACTTATTATCATAGGCAGCCAAGGACTTTGTCCTGCAAAGAGCGAGCCGTATCACTTTCACTGGGTTCCATGTATACATATTTGCAGGATTCTGGAAGTGAGCCTGGATGATGGTAGTATGTTTTCAGCTGTGCAATTGGGAATTTGAAACTGAGGGACTGAGCAGGGGTTTTCTTCACTGTTTCATAGCAATACACAGACTTGTATGGGTTTGTGCAGCCTTTTATTTGTAAGATTTGAACCTACCTGCAATAGGGAAATTATTTGTGTCTAGGTTTTTTTCCTCCAGTATTTTTTTTTGTTTGTTTCTTTTGGAGTTTTTCTGTGGTGGCTGAAAACCTTTAAACAAAGTATTTCAGATGGTGATTAATTCTTTTGTTGTTTACTAAAAAACAGAAAATGCTTCATGCTCTGTTATGATTTTTTTTTTTTTTAGAGAAACCTTGTTATTGAAAACAGATATTCCTTGCTGAAGTTTTCGTTTCCTGGAAAAAAACCCACATTTTCCATCAAAATATTTCAGTTAAAGCACTATGCCAGGTCTCCAGGGTGTCCTTCTGAAAAGACAGAAAAAAAAATCAGTAGAAAAAGAGTGACTGTCAACAGTCCAATATTTGGTTCTGCCCTGTGGTTCTTACTCAGGTAAAATTCTTCCTGGATAAGAAATGAGAGCGAATTTCAGCATGTAGGAACTGGAGAACCCTGCCTAACATATGGCTCCCCAACAAAGTAACTCCCAGATCTATACATTTTCCAGGAGTGAACACATTTTATACATACCTCAAGTAACCGACTTGTTCATTTTACAGAGTGAGTCTAACAAGTGAAGAATGGTTGTGAATGTACCATGAAGCTGGCTCAGCAAAGGTTTTCCTATAATTAAAATACATCTGGCTCCATTCTGAGTGGGAAATCACAGACCTCTGGATGTTTTGAGTATTTCCGTATGCACAACAGCAGCAGAAAAACTCTTTATGCCTTAACCCATCAAATTCTGCTCCCCTTAATCATGTGAATAAATCAGCTGCAATAAGGAACTTTAGTCTAGCATCTTTGACCTGAAAGTGAGCGATTCAAAGCAAAGATGATGGAAATGGTCATGGAAAGTCTGAGCAGCACTCAAATCTGTAGCATACTGGTGTTAATTTAAGTAAGTGTGAAATAGCTTGATGTGCTTCTCCACAAAAGCATGTGACTGCCATGGGCACTGCTCTTTCTGATGCAGTAGGAATACCTTCTGGTTCTGCAGCTATATCCTCTGGCTGCCAAAAGCTAACACAGAGCAATGAGGGAGCGCATGGCTGTGACCGGGGAACAGTATAGACATTGTGTATGTCTTTGTCCTTTGGCCTTCTCAAAGGGGCAGGCTTGGATCAGGGGGCAGCGACAACTTCCTTGCAACAGTCTCCTACCCTGGGAAGGGCTGTGCTCCCTGGCACCCCTTCGGCCTGGTGGTGGTCCGGATTAGTCGTGTTGGGGGCAGGTTTGCTGGTGTGGAGGCCTGTGGGCGCGGGGAGCTTGGAGGTGAGGGTGCAGTGTGTTATTGTGCCTCGGCCCTGCTGTGGTGGGCATCAGTCCAGCACGAGCCTGGAGAGGTTGCTCTTATGTGGATTGCCCTCTCCCTTCCTTGCCTGCCTCTGGGGCCTTTCATCAAGCCCTCAGTGCCCACCCCAGCTGGGGGACAAGAAACATTCGGGCTCTCCGCCCTGGCAAGCCCCAGAAGGCAGCCGGCGGGCTGCAAGGCAGGCGGGCAGGGAGTGATGGATGGGGTGGGTGGATGGACGGACGGACGGGTGGCGGG